CAGTCACACAAAAACTGAACATCCTGACATCATTCACTCCCTCTACATTCGTCACAATCCTGTTAGTAAACCTTCATTTTGTGTGAACCGACCCTTAAACTCCTAAAAGCCTGCCAGGTACACCTCACTGCTGCTGTGTGTTATTCACTGTACACCTGTAGAGCTGCAGTGCACACACACACACACACACACACACACACACACACACACACACACACACACACACACACACACACACACACACAGATGAGCAGGTGTTTGAGGGTGTTTCTGATGGTGTGTGTGTGTGTTCTGGTCTTGCAGTCGCAGCACAAGTGTGTGGTGGTGTTTGCGCTGGTGTGCTGCTGCGCTGTGCTGATCGCGCTCATATTCTCCGCTGTGGACGTTTGGGGAGACGAGGAGGAATCCTTCAATGAGGGCCAGTGTGGACGCAGCTGCCGGTGAGAACACACACACACACACACACACACACACACACACACGCACACACACACACACAGTCTCCATTTAAACACACTCCTGCATTTTATCAGTGTAATATTCTTGTTTTGGAGCGCTGCTTTGCTTGATGTGATGGTGTGTGTACTCTGCATTTCTCTGATGTTGGATTATGATGGGATGTATTTAGTTATATGTGATGTGCACTTGCTGTGTGCATTATTCATCAGTGCACTTCTGAATGTGATGTTTGGCTGTTATTAGAAATGTGCATGTTGTTCTCCTGGCGTCTGCGGTTGAGTAATGAAATGAGCAGCAGCAGTGTGTGTGCTTTAATGCTGGAGCTGTAGAGAGCGAGTCCTCCATGTGTCTGCACGGCTCACACTGATTTAAAGAGATGGAGATCACTGCTATCATCTACTCGTCCTCCTCATGTCTGAGTATCTTCTGCTCCTGCTGCGGAGGTCAGTGTCTGCTTAATCCAGCACTCTTCACAGTATCTTCTCTTGTGTCTAAGAAGAAAGAAACTCATCAACGTTTACAGTGAGGAGATGTTCATGTGTCCAAATCAGATTTTAAATAGGATATCGGTCCAAACAGAGGTCACAATTCACAGCATTAACAAAGCATTAACCATCACTACTAGCTTAATAAACCCTTCATTAGCTGTTTATTAGGAGTTATTAAGCTGGACGCTGCACTGAAATAAATACTATGCTAGATTTACTTGATATAGTTCAGCAGTTCTGCATCCCTCTGTCAAAGCCGTTTCCACATTAAGCTTAAAGCAGTATTAGCTAAAGGTCTTTAGTTGGTGAAGCTGAATTTATATTCTAGCAAATGGCCAAATGCTCAAACATGTTGGTCGGTGTAACCCAATATTTTAAGAAGTTTTTGTTTACAAATTTAAGTTATTTCTACCATTATAGTTCTGTTTAATCAATTATACAATCTAAAGCTCATTTGAATTAGAAATGTTTAATTCTTTAACTTTAAAATACTCAGTCACTCATCAGTTAACTTACAGTTGGCTATACATTATAAAGGGTGGCAGAAACAACAGATAACAGAGTTAAAGTACTTCTTTATTAGACAAATGCTTCTTAAAACATGTCTTAAAACATTTGTAGTTGTTCAAAAATGTACTGCTTTAATAGAATCAGTTGTTCATAAACTGTTGTTGGAGTTTTCTTAAAATTAGCGTTCAAAGCTGTGCTTCTCAAACATTCACCGGCCACCAAAACTGAAAAAGATAAGAGATCAGAAACATGACTGGCTGTCACGGTGGCGCAGTGGGCAGCACAATCACCTCACAGCAAGAAGGTCTCTGGTTTGAGTCTCGGCTGGGTCAGTTGGTGTTTCTGTGTGGAGTTTGCATGTTCTCCCCGTGTTGGTGTGGGTTTCCTCCGGGTGCTCCGGTTTCCCCCACAGTCCAAACACATGCGCTATAGGGGAACTGATCAACTACACTGGCCGTAGTGCATGAATGTGCGTGTGTGTGTGCGTGTGTGTGTGTGTGTGTGTGTGTGTGTAAAGATAGTTCAGAGCCTGTATTGATTTGA